CAGACCCGGCCGGCAGGGAGCAGGGCTGGCCCGTGTGCATGAAGATCCCGGGGTGCTGCCCGTCCCGTGCATGGTCACGGTGCCTGAGCGAGTCTAGCCCTGGGGATTCCTTCCTGCCCTCAGCCCCGCCCCCCCTTCTCTCTACTGTGTAGTTGCATTCTGCCTGGCTGGTAGACACACACATGCAGCGTGAGCGTGTCTACCAGCCAGGTAGTATGCAACTACGTACTGATACTCATGATAATAATAAAAACTTAATTAGAAAATACCGGACATTTATATGTCTGTTTTTTTCTCAATTTGTTTCTTGGACAGAAAGCTCAAATACAGGACTGCCCAGTTAAAAACCAGACACCTGGCTACCCTATTCCCAGCCTTTAGTGCCACCCAGAGCATATGGTGCTCTGGTGGTAATTTAAAGGGCCCAGGGCCTGCAACAGTAGTGGTGGCAGCCAGGAACTCTGAGATCCTTTGTATCACCAGGCTCTGGGGCAACTACCCTATTTGCTCCCCTCCCCTCCCCTCCCCCCCTCCCCCGCACGCGCACACACACACACATTAGGGAGCCTGCCTGCAGGAAATGATAGAATTCCATCCCACACACACGGACAGTGGATGACTCCATGATTTGGGGAGGAGGCAGACCCACCAGAGCCCAGCTCCCCTCCCCCACACTGGCCCCTTTCCGGCCCCTCAGTGTGGCCACTGGCTCTTGCCCTATCTCTGCCCTAATGTAGCACCCCCAGCCTGCCCTGGAACTCTGGAGAGTTAGCAAGCAGTCCAGCTGCCCCAGCCGTGGAGCTCCAGAAAACTGGCAAGCAACGTGGCTCCAACCTGCTCCAGTGCTCCAGAAAGCCAGCAGGAGGCATGGCAGCAGCTTGCCCCAGCCCTGAAGCTCTGGAGAGCAGGCAGTCATGGCACAACAAGGCTGACCAGCAAACTCCACACACACACACAGCCATGTAGCCAGCCCCAGCTCTGGGCGGCCTCCACAGAAGCCCGAGTCTGCCTGTCCCTGCCTCTGACACTACAACAGTGGGCTGCAGGAGGTGACTTGGGGGACTCCATTAGAACATAGGCAAAGCCAGGTGGGGCAGTTTGGCATTGCATTGCCTTCCCCTGCCTACAATACCCATCGGTCATGCACACACACGTTTTTCAAATAGTAATAGAGAGGTAGCTGTGTGAGTCTGATCTTGCTAAAACAAAAGGAAAAACTATGTAGCACTTTAAAGACTAACAAGATGGCTTAGGTGATTTTTCAAAGGCCACTTGAAATACTGGCTGAAACACTGGTTGATCCAAAACACAACAGGCAGATATCCATTCAGTTTGATGGGCTGTGAACTGGGCCAATAGTTAATCACTTTGCCCCACTGCTGCAAACATTTAAACACATGCAAAACTTTAGTCTTGTGATAAATCCATGGGAAGACTATGCAACTACTCACATGAATACATTTTACAGACCCTACTTAAGTGTTTGGAAGATCAAGGCAAGGCCTTTAGATCTGATCCAATGCTCACTGATATTCAGTCTTATCCACAGCCTTTCCACTGGCTTCAGTTGGCTGTGGATCAGACCCTTACTTACTAAAAAGGCTTTACATACAAATATATGAATACTAGCTTTTGACAATTTCATAACGCGTCCCTGCTTCGTTAAGTAGCTGTGGTTTTGATAATGACAGAATACATTAAAGATTTTTCCATCCATATTGTTCTTGTTGAAAATGCCTTCATCTATTTTAAGTATATTTTCCCTAAATTATAGTCACTGATCTTAATTATCCACAGTGCTGTAATTCTCACTGTTTTCACTAAACAGATGATTAGCCAGTCTAATCAGACTACTTCACAAGTATTTTGAGAAATACATTAAGACAGCCATGACCGAGGCATTCATTTGTCTGTAGCCCTAAGTACAGTAGACAGCAGTTGTAACACAAGAACGCCTTGTGCAATAATTCTTGCAACAAAACCCTCCAAAAACAAGAGATTTTCAGGCATATTTGCTTATAGCCTATCCACAACTGTTTCCAAAGGTTTATAAATTATCACCAAACTCTGTTATTGGGGCTGGCCCTCCATCTTTTACAGCATGTCCAGTTGATATGAATGGGACAGGAATGGGAATTCAGTGATCTGGGTTCTAATCCCAGCTGTGTTATTAACTTGCACTCAGACTTTGAGCAAGTCATTTCAACACAGAAAGCCTGATTTACAGAGGTTCAGAGTATCTGCAGCTCCCCTTGATTTCAATAGGAGCTGTGTGTACCTCCAAAATCAGTCCATAGGCACCTCAAATTGGACACCCAAAATGGAGGATGCTTTAGACAATGTTGGACTTATCTTTTTTGTGTATCAGTTTCCCTATATAATAGGAATACTTACCCTCCTTTGCAAAGAACTTTGACATCTATGGATGTGCTCTAGATAGAAATGCCAGGTGAGGGCTAAATTCTACATTTGCTTATAGAGCTGAGCAATTTAATTCATATGAGCAGTCCCATTTACTTCAATGGTGCCTACACTCCTGAGTTAAGTTTTTCAGTTGCATAGATAACTGCAGGATAGAGTGATGTGTAAATGTTATTAACCATTAAAGTTATTGGGAGTTTTGTCTACAACTGAAAGCAAGATCAGGCTCTAAATTCTTTTAGTTTGTTTGCTTCACTGAATTTTAGTCCATTAGTCCCATAAAATTAATTAGAAAGACAAATAACTATAAACAAAGATTAGAGTCTCATTTCAATCATGAGGAACATCAACTGACTTTAAGTAGGCTGTTCAACTCTTAAAATGTATAATAAATACAATGAAAGGGAAAGAACATATTTAAACCATTTGTAAAAAATACGTTATGATGAAGCTGCTTTCTCACTGTTTTTATTTCTGATGTTACCAGGGGAAAAAATAATCTAAGCTACATTCCACTGAGTAATACAAAAGGGAATTTGAGAATACTGGATTCCTATTATTGGTTTGGTCTTTTCTCTCTCTCTCTCTCTCTCTCTCTCTCCTCTCAGAAGGACAGTGGTTGTTTTTAGTAAGAGGCAGCAATTGTTCAGTAACAAGAGATTCAAGGAGAGTCACAATCTCTATTGAAACAATAGAGAAGGAAGAAGGAAGATACAGAAACTCTAATACTGATACAACTTTTTAGTACATTGCCCCACACTCCTCATTACAGCAGAATGTGCAATAGGGTAGCTCTAGTTCCTCCAGCTAGCCCTATTCTATTTATAATTTTCCATGCAAACATCTTGCAACCACCAGCTCCTGTGACAGGCTCAATGCCTGCTTGTGAGGTGTCATTACACGCCAACGTGTCATCTAAAAACAAATGACATCTTAAAACATTAAGGGCTTCAGAATCTTCAGCAAAGAAATCATCTGACAGGTATTTTTGTGGGCTTGTCAATAGTTCTCCCTTTAGCATCGGTCCATCAGGACCCTTATTCATTAATTAATCTGCCACCTTCTGCTGCCCCGGCCACGGGAGCCATATCTGGCCCAAGCCCCTGGCCACATAGCTGGAAACTTCGGTTCTCACTTACCCAGAGTGAGGGTGACTCATTTTTGCAGGCTGCCTTTTGGATCGTGCAGGAAATGCAAAGTGAGCTGCGGATTGTTGTGCTAATGACTGGGTGCTTAGGAGGAGGCAGCTGTCGCAGCTCACGCTGGACACAGCGTTCAGACTACTGAGCCTTACACCTGCCTTACAGACCGCCCAGCCCCGGCTATGCCCCTCTGGCCTCAGCCTGCCGAGCTTGGTCGCTGCCCCCTGTACCAAGACATCCCCTCCGGTTGCTAGGGGAGGACCACGTGGTGATGCTTTGGCGGAGGCGGGCAGAAAGGCGAGCTTAGCCCAATGGCTCTGCTCGCTTCCAGGACCCCGAGGGGGGAGGATCTGGGCTGCCACTCAAGCTGTGTTGCAGGCAGGGTCCCCAGGCTCCCGGAACCTGACACAGGCGCACACCGACCCGGCGCTGCCGCCAGCGACCACTGAGGAGGCGTTGAAGATACTGTGCCTGGCAGCGGAGCCAGGAGTCGAGCCCGAGTGTGGCTCCTTGAGCATTTTGCACCGCCACTCGACCCAGGCGGGCTGTCAGCTGTGCTATTAATACTCATTTGTACCTCGGCACGAAGCTTTACAGTCCTATAAGATGATGCAGTCGTGGCTCTAGGTGACACGTGGTAGCACTCGGGAGGTGCACCGCCCCCCTATGCCCTGCCAAAATTGTAACTGCTAAATGAGGTGCCCCCACGTGCCCCTCCTATCGCTCTGATAGGTAGGTTAATGCTGTAGACTACCTGCATTGCTTCGTCTCCCCTCCTTCGCCAGCAAATTCTTAAGCAGCCTGGCTCAGTCTTGGCTTGCATTGGGTCTGGGACCTACCCCTGCTGCCGCTCTGCATTTAAAGTGTATTAGGAGACAGGCCCGCAGGCAGCCCTGCTCGGTTCTGACTCACACCAAGTCCAGAAGTTCAGACCCCTCCCTGGACAGAGGCTGCGGCACCCTGTACTGCTGCCTCTATCAGGCAGCCTGCCCTGGAGGGGAGCTGGTTTTTAAACTGGCTCCCTTCTGGTACCCGGAGCTGCTGTCTCTGGTACAAGGGGTTCCTCGGGAGGGGGGTCGGAGCACACTAGCTGGCGGCCCTACCTCCGGGTACTATAGAATAGTCGAGTAACCGAGAAGAATTCATGAGGTTAATCGACTATTCAACTGACTGATATTTAACATCCCTAGTCAGTGTTCCCTGCAAGCTGAGCATTTGAGTGGCCATCCAGGAGAGATTCAAATGCCGCCCAGCTGATTAGCAAGAGCCCACAGTGCAAACAGTCAGCAGCATGTGCCAGGTGCATATAACAACATTTATTCCACATACATGGGCCCATCTAGACTACGTTTTACTTTCAAAAGAAGATACGCAAATTCGGTGGGAGTTTTTTTCAAAAAAGCAAGCCTTCTAGATGCAGTTCTTTTTAAAAACAAACAAACAAACCCTTTTTTTCTAAAGAACCTGTAAACCTCAATTTTTGAGGAAGAAGATTCTTTCAAAAAAAGGGTGGGGCTTTTTTTCAGAAGAACAGCATCTAGACTGCTTGCCTTTTCGAAAAAAAACTCTTTCGAAAAAGCAATCAGAAGAAGATATGCAAATTCCCACCAAATTTGCATATCTTCTTTCCAAAGTAAAACATAGTCTAGATGTGCCTATGGATGTAAAAAAAATTAAAGGGAGCATTGCTAGGCGTGGCTTTCCCATTACTCCGTATCTCTGCAGACACCAGTCACCCCTGGTCCTGGGCCTCAGATGTTCAGACATCATTGGCATCACTGGGAGTTCCCTCTCTGCGGGATCAGAACTATATTCTACAGATCACACACCTTATAATGTTCTGTACTGGTCAGACCCTCAGTCAGGGGAGACAAGCAACAGTAAATGAGGCTGGGAAGGCAGCTCTTGGGTTTTAAGGAAAGCCATTGGAGTTGTCTGATTTTGTACACTTTTAGTAAATTAGGATTTTTCTTGTAATCAAAATAATGAGGCATCCCAGACTAAACAGAGCTACCTGACAGTAGGTACTGGGACCCATTCTTTGTGGGCTACACCTTTAATGATTTCCCATGACAGGCAGCATATTCTGGTCTATATGCATGCAGTGCCCTCTCCCTCCCATCCACCCCCCACCCCCCCACACACACATGCACATGCCCACACACTGAATTGATACCAGAAGCTCTCACATAGGCAGAGAAGAGCCTAGATATCACCTGACAGATACTATGATGAAATCTCCATTGTAATATGTTGCCTACCTGCAGTGATAAAATCAGTGGAAATTCTGGCTTCTGGGCAGATATCAGAGAATTTAAAGTGCTGATTCTGCAATACTCTTCTGCATTTGCTTAACTTTAAGCACATCAAACTAGTCACTTGCTTAAAATTATGCATAAGAACTTTGCTAGACCAGAGAATTAATCAATATAAAAATTGGGTAACACTAGATCTTTGTGCCATCTCTGCCAATAACCTCCTATGTGTAGCCTAGAAATCTCTGATTCTCAGGAAGTAGCAACAGCATTTCTACTCCAGGGGGACTTCTGCACCAAAATAAAATAAAAAATTCTGCAACCAAAACAAGATTCTGCACGCAATGTTTTAAAATTCTGCAAAATTCTGCATATTTTGCCAAAATAACACATTATAATTACATCAGTTTCAATTATTGTTGGTCATTTATTTAAAAAAACCTATCAGCAGGGATGTTACAATACTAACAATAAAAAAGATTCAGGAATGGTAGGTTTTTTAATAAATATATTCTATACTGCTCATATTAATACAAAACTCTGATAAATAATTCATTTAAACTACAACACAGACCCAAATTTTCTGCACCTGTCAGAAGCAGTGCAAAGTCTTGGAGGAGTAAGGGGTAATGGAGGAGCTAAGGCAGTGGGAAGTAATTGTTGGGAAGGAGCCGGCATGTGAACTTTGAGGATTGTTGGGTATGAGTGGGAATAGTGTTGGGGTTTTTTGGAGGGGAGCGGCCTCAAGAAAGGATCGTTAGGGAGCTTCAACCAGGTAGACAGTGGCTGACCCAGTCCTCTCACCATCTTCTTCCATTCAATTAGGCATAGCTGCCCTTCTGACCATGTGTCCTTGCACCCCATGTGCTCTTGCACCCCTGTTCACGTGTCCATCCACCCTCACTCACTTCTTCCATTCCCATGTAGCCCTGCACTTCTCTCCCCTCTATGGCTATTGTCCTCCATTCCCATTAAGAACATAAGAACGGCCATACTGGGTCAGACCAACAGTCCATCCAGCCCAGTATCCTGTCTGCTGACAGTGGCCAATACCAAATGCCCCAGAGGAAGGGAACACAACAGATAATCCTCACATGACCCCTCCCCTATCACCCACCTCCAGAGAAACAGAGGCTAGGGACACCATTCCTACCCATCCTGGCTAATAGCCATTGATGGTCCTAACCTCCATGAATCTATCTAGCTCTTTTCTGAACCCTGTTAAAGTCTGGCAAGGAATTCCACAGGTTGCCAGTGCACTGCGTGAAGAAAAACTTCCTTTTGTTTGTTTTAAACCTGTTACCTATTAATTTCATTTGGTGACCCCTAGTTCTTATATTGTGGGAATAAGTAAATAACTTTTCCTTATTCACTTTTTCTACACTACTCATGATTTTATAGACTTCTATCATATTCTCCCTTAGTGTCCTCTTTTCTAAGATGAAAAGTCTAAGTCTTTTTAACCTCTCTTCAAATGGAACCCCTAATCCAAATGGAACCCCTAATCTCTCTTCGAAACCCCTAATCATTTTTGTTGCCCTTTTCTGAACCTTTTCCAATGCCAATATATCTTTTTTGAGATAAGGCAACCACATCTGTACACAGTATTCAAGATGTGGGCATACTATGGTTTTATATAGAGGCATTTAGATATTTTCTGTCTTATTCTCTATCCCTTTTTTAATGATTCCTAACATCGTATTTGCTTTTTTGACTGCCACTGCACACTGAGTGGATGTTTTCAGAGAACTATCCACAATGACTCCAAGATCTCTCTTGAGTAGTTATAGCTAAATTAGACCTCATCATATTGTACATATAATTGGGATTATTTTTTCCCAATGTGCATTACTTTAGATTTATTAACATTAAATTTCATTTGCCATTTTGTTGCCCAGTCACTTAGTTCGATGAGATTTTTTTTAAGCTTTGCAGTCTCCTTTGGTCTTAACTATCTTGAGCAATTTGGTATCATTTGCAAATTTTGCCACCTCACTGTTTTCCCCTTTCTCTAGATCATTTATAAATATGTTGAATAGGATTAGTCCCAGAACAGACCTTTGGGGACTCCACCAGTTACCTCCCTCCATTCAGAAAACTTACCATTTATTGCTGCCCTTTGTTTCCTGTCTTTTAACCAGTTATCAATCCATGCAAGGACCTTCCCTCTTATCCCATGATAACTTACTTTACTTAAGAATCTTTGGTGAGAGACCTTGTCAAAGGCTTTCTGGAAACCTAAGCATACTATATCCACTGAATCCCCCTTGTCTACATGTTTGTTGACTGTCTCAAAGAACTCTAGCAGATTAATAAGGCATGATTCCCCTTTACAGAAACCATGTTGGCTCTTCCCCTAACAAATTATGTTCATCTATGTGTTTGACAATTTTATTTTTTACTATAGTTTCAACTAATTTGCCTGATACTGATGCTAGACTTACCGGTCTGTAATTGCCAGGATCACCTCTAGAGCCCTTTTTAAATATTGGCATCATGTTAGCTATCTTCCAGTCATTGGGTATGGAAGCTTTTTTAAAGGATAGGTTACAAACCACAGTTAATAGTTCCACAATTTCCCATTTGAGTTCTTTCAGAACTCTTGGGTGAATGCCATCTGGTTCTAGTGACTTTTTACTGTTAAGTTTATTAATTTGTTCCAAACTCTCCTCTAATGACACTTCAATCTGTGACAATTCCTCAGATTTGTCACCTAAAAATAATGGCTCAGGTTTGGGGATCTCCCCAATATCCTCAGCTGTGAAGACTGAAGCAAGGAATTCATTTAGCTTCTCTGCAATGACTTTATCATCTTTGAGTGCTCCTTTAGCATCTCGATTGTCCAACAGCCCCAGTGGTTGTTTAGCTGGCTTCCTGCTTCTGATGCACTTAAAAAACATTTTGCTATTCCTTTTTGGCTAGCTGGTCTTCAGACTCCCTTTTTGCTTTTCTTATTATATTTTGACACTTAATTTGACAAAGTTTACACTTAATTTGACAAATCCTCACTAGGATTTGACTTCCACTTTTAAAAAGATGTCTTTTTATAT